AGCAATATTTTCATGACAGGCAATATTTAAGAGGAACCTCCATCACTGTAAACATTCTAGTTTCCTTTGCTTCTTTCTTTTCTTTCTCATGGTAAGAATTGCATAATGGACATTATTTCCTAAATAATCCTTCTTACTCCCATCACAATCTGTGCATCCTCATCTTTAGAAAAACTTGTCTGGGAAAAACTATGTGTGCTCTTATTAAAGCGAGCCATGTTAGGGAGCGGGGAAGCGCAAAAGGAGCCCGCATTTGTTTTCGTGGGGGGATAGGATGGGCTACAACCAAAGGGAGGAACATAGAGAGATTCACCCGTTATCCCCACCAAAGACGTAGATGGCAATTGATAAGCGACCACAGTGTGCTTGCTACGGCTGGAAAGAAAAGAGAAGACAACCTTGGTTTACATCCCTTCCCTAAACCACTCTCCGGTCCGGCATTTTGTCGGTGGCTCCTACACGCTGTTCAGCCCCACACCAAGCTGAGCCCCCCGCAGATCCCAGAGACGCCTCACCGAGCCCCGACGAACTCATTGCAGGGTGGGAGGCGGTGCCACCGGTGCACCATCTCAAAAGGCCTGAAGTTCAAAGTCAGGTATTCGACGCTGTCGGAGCAGCTATGATCAAAATCTATGCTGGGCGCCACCTTGGACCGCCCGCCAGAGTTGGCCACAGCTGCCGTGGCCCGGCTTTTGCTGCCGAGGACATGGATCAAGACCGAACGTCGACTACAATTCCGGACATCCCACGGCCCCATTGAGACCGTTTTTTATTCGGAAATCTGACTACAATTCCCAGCATACCATATGCTTCCTGGAGTAGCATTTTCAAGGGTGATCCTTTTATTTTATAGCTTGTATTCGAACTATACTCGGTTCTGATCGTTGAGTCGCATATACTCTTTCGAAGTACCCGTATTTTCTGGCGTATAAGATGACTGGGCGTATAAGACAACCCCCAACTTTTGAGAAGATTTTCATGGTTTAGAAAGTCATCTTATACGCCGGAAAATACAGTAATTTGAACCAACATTCCTGATGAATCATTAGTTCTCATATTCAGCAGTGTTCATGGAATGTGACTGCTTTCATCAGAATAACAAAAACAGCATCACTGGCTTTTGGAAATATATGTGAAATAGTGATGCTCATACAAAATGGATGGGGTTTGTGTTGCAGCACTACTTTTGTTGGTCTGATTTCCCTTATCCCCTTTTCAGTTGATCATTTAGAAATGAGAAGACATAATAGAATTGCAGGAAGTAGCTTTGGCTGGAGTAAATGTTAAAGGCCTTAAAAATCTAATTCTTAAATGTGGAAGATTGACCACATTCCAAATCCCTTCTTAAACTTTTTTAAAAATTGACCTCCCAAAATTAGTGCCAAGGAATAATAAACTCGTGACATTTTTGCCATTTGGCTTTACAGATGCAGCTTGAATTTTTTCTGCATGCTACTGCATGTTCACCTGAAAAAATTAGACTGCCAAGAAAACCTCTTTCAAAATAGCTTGTCAGTCAATCAAGATTAAAAAAAACATATATTCCAAACTAAAGAAACTTAAAAGATGTTTTTAAATTTGTACTTAATTAATTATAGTATTATGGAGCTTTCCAAAAAGGGAAGTGGAGTATTAAGAAATAAGCTTGTATAAGGCAAATTTTTTAAAATAAAGTGGCTTGGATTAGAAATAATTTTACCATTTTTAATACATTAGTTTGTGCATGTTTTTGAATCAAAATTGGAGCATGTATCCATTGCTTATGAAAATGCCTTCAATTCTGCTTATTTCCCTTGCTCAGATCTGTTGAATTTCCCTCGACTCAGTGGAATGGAATTAAAATGACTCCAAACATAGAAGCTGCATGCATGAATAATTAGATTGGAGCTGTTGCAGTAATTTTTCACCTACAATCAGAATTTGGATCTTAATTAAAGCTGCCACTAAGGTCAAATATATATCTTACCTTTGGAAAAGAAAAAGAACCTGGAACAGAATAATCTACAAACAAGTTGTAGATCTTTTGGTTTTATTTTTCTTACAATTCTGATACTGTTCATCTCAGTGACTGTAAGACTCATTCTTAGATAAGAAGATGCCATCAACTTCTTTACTTCTCTCTTTCTCTCTCTCTCTTTCTCTTTATATTTTTATTAGAGTTTACAAATACAAAGATAATAGGCTAACACAAACTAAAAATATATATAAAAGGGAAGTTCAAAGAGATAGAAAAAAGAAAACATAAGGAAAAAAGATACCCATTTTATCAATCTTGCTGGAATAAAAATTTAATTGGGAATAAAAAGGAGTGAATAGGAATGATGGGAAATGAAATTGCTTTTTGGCAAAAAGCAGGTGGCATCATCTCTGGTTTCCCATTGTCTGACCTCTAAATTCTATGGATACATCTGTACAAGTCACCCACAGTTAAGCTGATTTTAAAAGCAACTCTCTAGAGCTTCACTCATTACAGATCAATTAGAATTCTGGAATTTATTTGGTGAAGAGTCTTATTCTTTAGCTCAATTTTGTAGCCAAATGCGTTTAGACATGTTTGCTGCAACGCAGAAGCACATATCACCACAATATTTGGAAATACAGTACTTAAAGTAACAAGATGTGGGGTATGTGGAGACCTAACCCTTGACAGCTGAATTTGACTGGGTCCTCATTTATGTTTGCTGAAAAAGAAAAATAATTTCCTCAGCCAGCTGCTTATCAACTGGCAGGTGTTGGGTGTTTGCATTTTCAGTGTTAAGTCACAGGAAACTGGAGTGTTTCTTCATCCGGAATCTGCTTGGTATTAAATGTAGTCTCTGAAAGAGATTCCTTTTGCATTAGCATTTGACATTAACATTTTCATGTTTCCATGCTGCTTTGGGGGAGGAATGGTGCCTTAGTGATTTTATTTGTATTTCTTTACACAGAATGAATTACATGGATATTTTGGTGTTAGATATAATTTCATTTCAGGAGAATACTTTTGATACCTACTGAGCTGTTAATTAAGAAAAATGAGTATGTGAACACAGTTTATTACTCAGTTGGAAATAGGGTCAGAGAAAGGGATGTTTCTGCTGAACTATATACACCTGCTTTGTGCAATTGATTGATGGTGATTTTATCAGTGCCATTGGTGCTCAGGTGATGTTCCAGATGTTTTGGGATTGCACGCACGGTGCCTATTGCTCTTGGGCAGGGCTTTTTTTTTTTTTTTTTTTGTCATAGAACACCCAGAACAGAGTTCTGGCATCTTTTTTAGATGGAACCTTGTAGGGTAGGCAAGGCGGGTTGTATGACATGTGTGAGTTCTGGCACTTTTTTAAAAACAAAACAAAAAAAAGCACTGCTCTTGGGGCTATCCATTTGCAGGTCTTCATATTTTCTGATTTTCTTCAGTTACTATGGTTCATTGCACAGCCAGCCAGATGTTTAGGTTGGATTTGGCATTTTTATCCACCTATCGAGTCAGAGGTTTATTATTTATTGGAATGTATTGCTGCCCAACTGTGCAAGTGTTTACCATGCTCCCATGAGCAATAGTGTGGTGAACCCCAGTCTAATAGCCCCCTCTACCCAGTTTTTGACTGGAAAGTTTTAAAAGACACTACATTTTCTTCAATAAAAAAATCTTTTAAAAAGATTTTTTAATTCAATCCAGGAAGGATAGAGATTGAGCAAATAGACTATTAAAGCAGGCCTTAAAAGTAGGTTCATGAGTACCCCATCAGTAAAATCTCTTGAAATTCAGTTGATGGTCATGTTTATAATATTTCAGTGTCTTTGAAATTTATAATTTATGTTTGCACAATTTTCTGATAGAAGTTTTTTTTTTAATATTTTTAAAAAGACATCAGATTTTTCTCTGAAAAAAGTCAGATTTTTACTACTCTCAGAAGTATAACAAAGGTTGGCCTGGTTACAAGTGATTTAATGATAATCTCATCTAGACTGGAAAAAACAAATTCAATATTAAGGCAAGAAAAAAACCGTATTCTACCCTGCAAACATGTCTATGAAATCAACAGGAACTGAGCTTGACTTGAAGGACAGTTTAAATTTTAAACATTTTCAATATTTTAAAAACATTATTCTACTCTGAAAAGTCGGGGAGCTTTGCATTAAACTGTGTTACTTATGATGTAGATTGTCAGCAAGTTTAATGTTATCTTTTTTTATTCTACTCCAAAAAAATCATTATATTGTAATTCTAGAATGGGCTTTCAGTGGGTCGAAGTATGTAAACCATCCTCCAGTGCACCAATTCCTCAAGAGACCCCCAGTGACAGATCAGTTGAGCCTCTAAAGCAGTGGTTCTCAACCTGTGGGTCGGGACCCCATTTGGGGTCAAACAACTATTTCACAGGGGTTGCCAAACAAGGCTGTCCGCCATTTTTCCCCCTTTTCTTTGGCCACGCCCCTGGCACCTGGTGATGTATAAGTGGTTGGGGGTCACCACAACATGGGGAACTGTATTATGGGGTCGCGGCATTAGAAAGGTTGAGAACCACTGCTCTAAAGGTTTTGTTTAGATCTAAAAGATTGCTTTTATGGTAGTCTGGTTTGTAAGTCAAATGAACAGTAGAAATCTCAGAGAAAGTTTTTTTTTTCCTTTGAAACAAATGCCCTAGAAAATCCTTTCCTGAAAAGTGAGGATCTTCCAGAAATAGACAGAATAAGATGTGGCGGGCTTCAGAAAGAACATGAATTGTTGAAAAGTGACAAAAGCTATATTTAGTAGTTTATTAATTAGTATTTTACTAATCGGTTTAACAATGCAGACTCCATTAACATTGCTGCAGACTCCATTCTGGAAAACTCCAAAGCAGGGGTCCCCAACCTGTGGGCCGTGGCCCACTACTGGACTGTGCCTATTGGCTACTGGGTTGCGTGAGTGGCTGGCCGGTGTGCATATTTGTTCATGTGCGCATAGCTCCCCTCATGGTCCTATGTGCACAACAAGTGTTTGTGTGTGTACACGCATGCATGCATTTACCCCTCCCACAAAACCATCCTTTCTCCCCTCCCCCCCTTCAGTCCGCCAACCCCAAAAGGTTGGGGAATTCTGCTCCAAAGGCTCCAAGAGAATCTTCTCTTAAATAAATTAACATAATTTCTGTAATCATTTGTTGACTTAGTTCATGCCTCTAATAAAAATCTTTTTTTTTCACAACTTTAAATGTGAAAGAAAATATTAAATAAACAAAATGAGATTAAAATTTAACATAAACTTATTCTGAATAGGAAATGAAAGCATCTGTTCATCAACTTGCTTGTCCTTGTTCAAATATACCAACTTCCTGGGATTTCACTTGGTGTTCCATTATTAGGTAGAGTCTTGAACTCTTTCAACTTTTGCTGGGTTAGAAGTACCTTAGGTGTGGTGACATCTGAAGCAATATCCATCTTTGGGTGGGTACTGTACTTTTTGATTTCTAGAACTGGTTTAGACTTCATCTTCAGCAAGTCATTTGACGTGTCTACATCTCTGGCATCCATTTTAGGAATTTTGTTTTCTGTATAGCAAAGACAGAATGTGGTTGCCAAGGTGCCTTAAAGGGCATAAAAAGATGCAAGTTCACAGAACTCTTTGGCTGATAACATTGTGTTCAATAGAGTATGAAAAGATATTCAGAGTTTTAACATTAACTGTCATATCCACCACACATAACAGTATATTAATAATAAAATGAAAAAGACTATTTTCAAGCTTGCTTCTGATGGACATCAGTGTCCCAACACTAAATTGGCCCATTAATCTCCATGCCCCACCTGATTTCATATTGATTCAGTATGGATTTTAAATATAGACAGGTTTAAATGTTATAGACTGCCAAGAGTAAGTTTTAATTCAGTAGAATATGAACACAATAAACAAGCGTTATTTCTCAGAAAGCTTCTAAAATGTAATGTAATTTAATACACTCCAGGAGTATTACATGGGTTTAGGAAAAAAGACAGAAATAAACTAACATCTCTCCAAGCCTAGGTTTACTAGATCTAGCAACAAAAAGTCAGTTACTACTAGAAGGCAGTAGAAATATATAAGATTATCTCTGCTGCTATCTAGTGGTTGCCCAAATTTTTGCAGCCCAGATCAGGTAGCCCTAGCCAAGCCTGAAATTTATAGTAAGAATTTCTTTAAAACTTTAATGCAGCTAACTCTAAGAAATATGACTGGCAGGATGATGGATGTTCTTACTGGCAGCATAACAGAGTGATTCAGTTGCCATGTACTTTCTGCCAATTGCACACTGTTTATTACAACCCTATTAACTTTTCAAGGAAAAACCATTAGGGAGTAGCAAGGCAACTGTTAAATCATGAACTGAGCAATCATTTAACTTTATTCATGAAAGTGCATATAAGAATTCTACACTAGTCTGATTGTCTAAGCAAAGTATATGAAAAAGGCTTCAGAGGCAGAACATGAATTCAGAGAATTGTACAATAGTAGATAGTTTGATTTAATATTACAGTTTTGGATTCTTCATTGATTAAAAGATTAGGTGGCATCAGTTTTGTGTTGACTCTTAGTGACCACATAGACTCTGGGATGACCTGTTCCTAGCTAAATAAAATTTAGACATTCAGTAGAATCCTGTATTCATCGATACTTATGTGTTAGTTATAGGTAGTCCTCGACTTACAACCACAATGAGCCCAAAATTTATGTGACAGTTGTAAATTTTGTTCCATTTTATGATCTTCCTTGCCACAATTGTTGAGTGAATCACTGCAGTTGTTAATTTAGTAGCGTGGTTGATAAGTGAATCTGGCTTCCCCATTGACTTTGCTTGTCAGTAGGTCGCAAAAGGTGATTGCATGACTCTGGGACACTGCAACGGTCATAAATATGAGTCAATTTCCAAGTATCTGAACTATGTTCACGTGACCATGGGGATGTTGCAATAGTCATACTTTGAAAAATGGTCATAAGTCACTTTTTTAGTGCCGTTGTAACTTTGAACATTATTAAATGGACTGTTGTAAGTTGAGGGTTACCTGTATAGATGGGCAAAATAGAAAAATAAAAATAAAGTATCTTTTACCAGGTGTTATGCAATTTAGTTGGGGAAGCCCTGACAACTGTTCAAGGAAGGAACACTAGGGCCTCAGCAACTATTTTGGAAATGTGATAATTGGCATGGATGTGGCTAATCCTCTTCTTTGTGACCTCTGCCTATACTTTAAAACAGATGCTGGCTGGGATTTGACTAAAGAAGGAGCATGGAATGAAATAGTTCAGAAATGTCCAACCTTGGCAACTTTAAGACTTGCGGACTTCAACTGGCTGAGGAATTCTGGGAGTTGAAATACACAAGTCTTAAATCTGTCAAGCTGGGACACCCCTGGAGTAATTTTTCTTGCCATCTTATAGAAGATTTTAAAATTTCAGACTAGGTGGCTTAGACTGTGGGACAAAGGTCAAAGTTGTGGAAGGCGATCACCAGAGTAAAGAGGGATAAGATGGCGATAGTGAGATTTCCAAAGTGAAGCTGATGTTGATCACGTGATAAAGAAATATTTCCTGACTTCAATTTTCTGTACCTCATGAAAATACAGTAACCAATAGCTTCTCCCAAAATGATAGCATTGAGTGATACCTAGAGAAGATAGTTGGAAAATATCTTAGTGCACCCGGTGATCTATAAAGATCTAACACTGAAATTTCTGATTATACATTCATGTGTAAAAAGGTGAGATTTAATTTCTATGTGTTTGCCATAGCATTGAAAGATTTTACCCATTGGCTTTATCTCCCTCTACCGTGATCACAAGCTCAGCTAAAAATAGTGAGATTTATCTGTATCCAATTCTGCAAGTTCTCCACATGTCCTTGGGGACTTGTTTCTGCAACAAGAGAGACTGCATATGTGTATGTGTGTGTCAGCAGAATTGTAGATGATGGGATAGAAAAAGCCTATTTGATGAGATCTATCTTTTCGTCTGTTTGAACAACTCTGAGAAAAGAGTGGAAGAACAGGCTGTGCAGAACTGATGACCTTACACACACTTTATTGTAGCTGGTAACTGATATCCAAGAACAGAAGACAATAAATGTTAGAGCTAGCTTGATAAACAATTTCTCTGGGAGGGGCCCTTGGTTGTTAGAAGGTTGGTATTTTTGAGGTACAAATTTGGCAAATAACAGTGGAAATAATTGCCATGAAGTTGCAATGTACTAAAAGCTTCAGTTCTGCCTGCTGCTGGTAAACAGTGTAGCATAGGCTCCATTATTTCTTATCCAATTTTAAGGGAACATGATACATGATCTCGTCATTTGAACTGCTGGTGACTAGCTGCAAATCAGCTTTAACCCAGAACTAGGCAAGTGCTCTCTTTTTGATATAGTATTTTGACTGACAAAGGAGAATCCAAGCCAAAGAGGTGAGAAATTGGATAGCTATAATGTATTATTTAATAAGATTGATATATGCTGTTTTTCAATTTAAAAAGTAAAAAATAATATAATTAAATATCTTGTTATTAAAAATAAAAACTGGATTAAAATTATGGAACTATGAAATTATGTAAAATAAAAAAATTCAGGGACAGCTGAGAGTGACCCCACATGATTGGAGTCATATTTTTAAATAAATCTTAGAAGTGCCTGTGTAGGAGATTATTTAATATAAACCTTTCAGTTCATTATGTAACTGCAATTACTAGAAGCCTCAATTCCAGCAACATTGTAATTGTATATTTGATTATTTATTTAGATTCATTTTTAATGCTGATTTTTCTAGGGAATAATAAATTACACAATTAAAATTAAAAGTTGGTAAGCATACACTACCAATTTATTTGCAACGTAATATGCATGTTAAATCTTTAATCATATTTTAAGATTAAGATCCTAAAATGATCTAAGTTGGAATGGTAAATATGGGTTAGAAATTTTGGGGATGACTGCCATTTGTATATTTCTTTCTTGATGTCCATTTGAACAACAGTGTTTCTGTTGTGGTGTGCTTGTCTCCAAATAGTTATAAGATTTCTTTAACAAATCTTATAAATCTATTGCATTTTCAAAAAATGTAAAGAAGAATGCTAGGTTGTATAAATAAGCAGCTGTAGAATCTTGCAGGACTGTTGTTTTTAACATTGTGCTGATGCTATGGGCATAAACTACAGCTTTAGAGTTCGCTGAGGTGCTAGTTTCCTATTTTGATTATAGAATGATAGGGCATTGTGCTAGATGCATTGGACATTGTTTTCAAATAAATTGCATGTTAGGTGTAAAAATGGTAGGCTTTGAACTTGGCAAAAGTTAAAATTGTCTGTTTAAATGATGCTCTTTTGAGAAGATACAGCTTCAGTTTTTACATTTTATTGCTTTCTAAGTAATTTCTTAGAATGACAGAAGCATGGAGTGAGGGATAGCTTTAATTTTAACAGCACTGGTGTTTTTCAGTACATTTTTTTTTTTTTTTGCATAAGGTGAATGAATTCTGAGGCTCCTATGATAGTACCAAATGTGTTTGATATAGTGGTTAAGGTGTTGGCCTAGAAACTAGGAGACTATGAGTTCTAGTCCTTAAGCATGAAAGCCAGCTGGCTGATTTTGGCCAGTTACTTCCTCTCCCAACACGTTTCATAGGGTTGCTGTTGTAGAAAAAAATTAACAGGAGGAAAAAGTATTAGGTATATTTGCTGCCTTGAGTTAGAAAGGCAAGAGCCGAGGTGGCGCAGCAGTTAGGGTGCAGTACTGCAGGCCACTTTAGCTGACTGTGTTCAGAAGGTCAGCGGTTCAAATCTCACCGGCTCAAGGTTGACTCAGCCTTCCATCCTTCCGGGGTAGGTAAAATGAGGACCCAGATTGTTGGGGGCAATGTAAATATATATATATATATACATTGCTTACTGGTGTACACCGCTAAGAGAGTGCTCGCACTTAAAGCGGTATATAAGTCTCATAAATAAATAAATAAATAAATAAAGATAAAAATCTGATAAATAAATTGGTAGGTAAGTTGTTAAGTGGCTTGCTTTAGTTATTGTAATAACTTTAAAATATACTTAGAAAAAATTGAACACTTCTCAGCATTTAGTAATTATATTTTGATTAGTTAATTGCTGTATTTCTCTTATTGTAGCAGTACCCCTAACACCTATCCAACCTCAAACTTGTTCCATTGTGATGGCAGCAGGTAAGGAACCTGGTAAAATCTGATCAAAACTAAATAATATTAACATTTCAAGGATTAATTGCCTTCGGTGTATAGTGTTGAATAAGGAAAGGTTTTAAATTAATGACCATGATCTAGAGAACAGATTTCTTGACATTTTGTTGGCAATTGTGGCTGGCATTTTCAGAGGGAAACTAGTCTGCTATGTAGACCACAAGCAACTTTATACACCTGCATAAAAAGCCTGTTGAGATCCACACAACCTTCAACAAGAAAGAAGAAAAACTGAAAATTAATGAAATCTGGTTACCTGCTTGTGCCACACCAAGATCCCACCCCAAAGCAAGACCAACCAGGAATCGGCTTTCCAAAGTAGCCAAATC